TTGGCCTATGAAATATGAACTGCTATGGTAAGGAGGAGGAGGAGGAAGAGGAGGAGGAGGAAGAAGAGGCCGGCCTTCGAAATGGGAACTGAGATTATAATGGAGGAGGACTAGGAGGGGGAGGAGGAGGACGGCCTTTGGAATAGGAACTGAGGTGGTAATAATGGAGGAGGAGGAGGAAGAGGATGGCCTTTGAATAGGAAATGCCCTGGTAAGAGAGGTGGAGGAAGAAGAGGAGGAGGATCTTGGCCAATGGAACAGGAACTACTGTGGAAAGGAGAAAGAAGAGGAGTAGGAAGAGGAAGAGGAAGAGGAGCAGGAGGTGGAAAGGGGGGAGGAGGAAGTGGAGGGGAGGAGAAGGAGGAGGGAGAGGAGGAGAGGATGAGGGGGAGGAGGAGGAGGAAGAGGAGGAGGAGGTTGGCCTTTGGAGTAGGAACTGAGGTGGTAATAATGGAGGAGGAGGAAGAGGTTGGCCTTAGAAAAGGAACTGCTGTGGTAAGAGAGGAGGAGGAGGAAGAGGAGGAGGAGCTTGGCCAATGGAATAGGAACTGCTGTGGTAAGGAGAAGGAAGAGGAGGAGGGGGAGGAAGGGAGAGGACGAAGGAGGAGCTTGGCCTTTGGAATAGGAACTGCGGTAGGGAGGATGAGGAGGGAGGGAGGAGGAGGGAGGGAGGAAGAGGTGAAGGGAGGGAGGAAGAGGAGCAAGAGTAGAGGAAGAGGAAGGGAGGAATCAGCGTGGAGGAGGAAGAGGGAGGGAGGAATAGAGGAGAGGTGGGAGGAGGAGGAGGACCTTGGCCTATGAAATATGAACTGCTATGGTAAGGAGGAGGAGGAAGAAGAGAAGGAGGAAGAGGAAGAGGAAGAAGAGGAAGAGGAGGAAGAAGAGGCCGGCCTTCGAAATGGGAACTGAGATGGTAATAATGGAGGAGGACTGGGAGGGGAGGGAGGAGGACGGCCTTTGGAGTAGGAGCTGAGGTGGTAATAATGGAGGAGGAGGAAGAGGAGTAGGAACAGGAGGAGGAGGAACAGGAGGAGGAGGAAGAAGAGGCCGGCCTTCGAAATGGGAACTGAGATTGTAATAATGGAGGAGGACTGGGAGGGGGAGGAGGAGGACGGCCTTTGGAGTAGGAACTGAGGTGGTAACAATGGAGGAGGAGGAAGAGGATGGCCTTTGAATAGGAACTGCCGTGGTAAGTGAGGAGGAGGAGCTTGCCTATCGAATAGGAACTGCTGTGGTAAGGAGAAAGAAGAGGAGTAGGAAGAGGAGGAGGAAGAGGAGTAGGAGGAGAAAAGGGAGGAGGAGGAGGAGGAGGGGAGGAGATGGAGGTGGAGGGGAGGAGAAGGAGGAGGGGGAGGAGGAGGGGGATGAGGGAGAGGAGGAGGAGG